GTTTGTGTGTGTGTGTGTGTGTGTGTGTGTGTGTGTGTGTGTGTGTGTGTGTGTGTGTGTGTGTGTGTTTAGTTTTCTGGTGCATTATGGGCTCATCTCTGCTTTCTGTTGCTGAGCAGCTTTTGAAAGACCTTCAGAGAACTTACTCGGAGACAAACCAGAGTAGGTTTAAAACTCACACACTCACTGATGTCTTGGCAGCTGGATGAAGCCATTGGGGGATGAAACATTAAGTAACATTTGCAGCTGAAAAGCAGAAAAACTACTAATCATCCTGCAGTTATCTCATCAGTCTTCACAGACAAACTCACACTGTACAATGGGCTCCAGAAATCTCTGATCACTAGTGAAAATGTGCATATATTGTGAACATTATATTAGTACTATTTAATACCAATTGTACTAACTAGAACTATTTTTTGTAGTTTTTAATGTTAGAGATGTTTAGCTTCAATAATGTCAAGCATGAATTTGGATAGTATACATAGGGTTAGTGGTCTGATACTGATATATGTATATTGTGCTTAAGTAGAAGCAAGAACATTCTATTATGATTCTAATTTACACTGTTAAAATAGCAGGATTTTCTGCTATTTATACTACTTATTGCAAATAGTGGCAATTCTCTGCACCTCAGTATTGTAGTACATTATAAAACGGTATGCAATAATAACGTATTTAGTGTAAATTATAACTTATTAACTTGTATAACTTCAAATTATTAAATGAATGCCACCTTTATTGGGACAATAAAGCCGTCCCTACACCTACCCTAACCCTACTCAATGCTTTATTTTCAACGTTTTGATTATTTCCTTAATTTTTATTGAAAATAAATGGCTTTCTGATGTGATATGAGATTTGAAAAGGGAGGGGAAAAGTTCGACAAAAGGCGGGTTTGAACTCAAAAACATGACGGCGCACGCTTTACCATCTATGCCACTGGAGCTGACTTTTTACAGCCATCTTCTGTAGTGTTGACTAGGCCAATCTCACATTGGTGGGCAAAGTTAGTGTAAATAGCCTTTGCCGACAAGGCACTTAATGACACTCCATAAAGATTTTCAAAGTGTTCTGCTGTTCTTGGGCATTTGGACTAGGGCTGCACGATAAATCGAAATGGAATCGAGATCGCGATTCGACAGAAGCTGCGATTGACATCTTTCAGTGAAGCACGGTTCTGTGATCAGCAGTAAATCTCCATCCAAAGGCCAGAGGGCGCTCTCGCGCTGAAACTCCAAATACGCCTCGCAGAAGAAACCCATGGGCTTTACTAACAAAATGCGCATGACAATCGCATTCGATTAATCGTGCTGCCCTAATTTGCACCCCATGTGTCCCATACAAACATTTGAACAACAGATATTTAGTGATTAACAGTTTAATTGATTCTCAGGTAAATTTCAGAATAGATAGTAACTCCTGTACAGAATCAACATTTTACCCTATTAACAAACCCATCCCAAACTAGTCCCCAACTACGCTTTAAAGGTCACAGCTTGGCTATAATTAAATACAATCAAAACATCATTCAGTATATAATAATGAGAAAACTAAATAAATAAAATACAAAATTCTTAAATAAAATACCCATTCTTATATCACATTTACAATCACAATCAGCATATTTCTCTCACACAGCTATTACTGTCCCATTTCCAAACAGGTTAAGTACTTGGACCATTTTTTATAGGTTTAAGTTAGCTTGTCCGTCTGCTTATAAGACACTTTTTTTTTTTTTCAAATGCAGCCACTCTATCTTAAACAACTGACATTTGATCAACATTTAAAAAAAAAAAATTAGGCTTAATAGTAAAAACTGCATGTGTGGAAGTGAACTGTAAAGTCAGCGACATTTTGAAAGTATAAATAGCTGCAATTTCTATTACTGACACCGGATGGTGCACTTGTACCAGTTGCATGAATTTTTCACTCCACTGCTGCAGTTTTTGATTGCTTAAACAGACAACACGTCCTGTGGAGTGGTGTTCAAGTTTCTTATGGTCCGTGGTGTTGAGGTTTCCTTTTGCATAGGCTTCAAAGTATGGAGATTTATGTTCATATTTTTCCTACAACATCATGTTCCTCGGAGCCTATTTCTTAATGAGATGTTCAGTAGTCCAAAGCCTTGTATCAAATAATTGTGTTAAAATGTCAATATATTTATTGAGTTATTGTGGAAATCCTTATGTGTGCAGACAAGACTTAATGCAGAACATCTGGATAAGAGTAATGACATTATTCTGTTCGAATTTTGATGTCAAACAACGCCAGAGAGAAATATCAAGGGAGTAATGATGGCTGTAGTGTTTTTGAGATTGAGATGTCATTTCAGTTTGTGCTTGTTTGGGTCTTTCTCCAGAGAACCATGGTGACCAAAATAAACAACCAAAATAGGCTGTTTTGCATGACTGATTATTGGTTATTGGTATTATGTTTAACATGCATTTAACTTAGTTATTTTTCCCAGATGTTATGTTTCATGTACTCAAATATGTTCCTTTTGTGCATTAAAAACATGCTTTGTGCTTTTACATTTTTCAGTTTTATAAAACACTATTAACTAATATTATTTTTTTTTCTCTTTCTTATAGTACCAGATGACCTACTAATAGCGTAAGTATTTTCCCCTATCTCCTCCTCAAGTTAGATTTACCATACTGTGAGATCTGGCCTTGAACTACAGACTGTTAAATATTTTGGATGCTCTTGACCTGAAGTTGAGGAGCGTCAATTATTGCAGATGTGTGTATTATTGCCACTGAACACTGTACAGAAACCAGCGCTTGCCTCTTAACTGCCAGATGTACTCAACACAGGCTTTATCAAGCACATATGTATGTCTTTACCCAGCGCTCTCTTTCTAGACGTCATTGACTGAATAAATCATGATGTTAAAAGCGTCCTCAAAACCACAATGACAGTCATCAGGCTGCCATTGAGGGAAGCACTAAGCCACAGTAATTACTCTACTCTGGGAATCACATTCCTCCATAAATGGCTGTTCACATCACAAGTCAGCACTTTTTGCTTTATTGGGCAATTGATTGTGGTTTCAGTGTCATCATCGCGTCATGTGTTCGCTTAGGTCTGCTTCTCTCTGAGACATTATTTGAATGTGGCTGGATGACTTTCAGATGATGCAGTTCCATACTTCCACTTTAGAATGTATTGCTATAGGCTTGATGTCAAGACCAGATTGGCTCACAAGTGACATTGTTTTTGAGTTTTATATTAAGACAGGAAACAGCACTTGCTTTGGGTTAAAAGTGAGAGCTGAGGTTTGTTGCCCCTCAGCTTCCTGTGTATGTGTCACTGTCTTATCTCACCTAGCATGGTTTCCTGTACCTACAGTTAAAGAATGAAACCAAAAATGAAACTGCCGAAAGTGTGCTCATTCTCAGGCCATCAAAATGCTGTTGGTTTCTTCATCAGAACAAATTTGGAGAAATTCAGCATTACATCACTTGCTCGCCAATGGATCCTCTGCAGTGAATGGGTGCCGTCAGAATGAGAGTTCAAACAGCTGATATACCATAAGTAATCCATACGACTCCAGTCCATTAATGAATGTCTTGTGAAGTAAAAAGTTGTTTGTTTGTAATAAACAAATCCATCATTAAGATGTTTTTAACTTCAAACCGTCCTCTATCCATATAATATTGCTTTCTACAGTGAAAAGGATGACTCGTCTGAATCAGGAGAGAAATACGCACACAAGTGAAAACAGTTCTAAACAAATATGTTGGTGGATTTTGATGTAAGAGGACAGCAGTGGATGGACTTCTACACTGGTGGAAGCGTTTTAATGAATTATGGACTGGGATTTTGGCCAGAAGCACTGGTGAAATGCTTTAATGATGAATTTGTTACTTACGAATATGCAGCCTTTTAATTCACAAGATGTTAATTGATGGACTGGAGTTGTGTTGATTATTGGATAGTGATGTTTATCAGCTGTTTGTACTCTCATTCCGACGGCACCCATTCAGTATGACCGAGGGTCAATTGTTGAGCAAGTGATTTCGAGCTTTCGACTTTCTCCAAATCTGTTCTGATGAAGAAACATCTACATCTTGGATGGTCTGAGGGTGAGTTAAGTTTTAGCCAATTTTCATTTTTGGAAGAAATTGTCCTCTAACTCTCATTTTATTCTATCTTACAGATTACGGTTTGTGTTTGGCCAATGTGCTCTTCAGGCATTGGACCTGGTGGACCAGCGCTCTGTCACATGTGTGTCATCACCCAGCGGTCGAAAGGCATTTCAGGTAGGAGTGAATAAATGTCTCAAAACTAATTTTTTTTTTTCACACGGCCGCTGAACAAAACTTCTTTTAGTCATGTTTGGCTGTTAATAATGTACAGAAATTTCTGCAACCAAAATATTCAGGCAAAATCTTCAAATTCTTGGTTTCGGCCAGATTAGTTTTGGAGGGCCGAAATCAATGACCAAAACACATTTTGACTGTCAGCATCTCACACAATATAGACAAGCTACAACAGGTGAACCTTTCAGCAGTGAGGACCAAAAAATTATGCTAGTATAGCAATACGTCAAATTCTCCAAATATGGAGAATGGCTCATTGTCTTTAACATTTCAAACATTGTGGTAAATCAATGATGCAACATAGTCCTATAATTATCCACAAGACTGCGTGTGCTTCTCTTGTTAGATGCTTCTCCTAATTATTCACAACAGCACATTTTTCTGTCATAGATTGCAAGTGAATGTTTGTTTCGCTTTGCAACAATATCTGCATGACAAATTCTTTCCCAATGAGTCTCCAACACAAACGCGGTCTTTAGACTTCCTTGATATGAACACTACACACACAAAATAATCTCAAAAGGTACTGAAAATGTCTTTGTACATTTAAATTGTAACTATCGCAGGATATGTGTGTATTTGTATAATGTATGGCGAGCTTACATCATTGCATAATATATTTGTTCATTTTGTTGCATGTGATGGTGATTTGCAGTGTGAATTTGTGGGAAACTTGGATGCTTTTAATTCAGTGAGAGCAAAATAAAACTGACTGGATCAGAAGCTGCTGTTGTGGTGTCTGTCTGCCCTCTTCCCCTCCACTCCTCAGTTTACCATGGCCACTTTTGGAGCATTTTTCAAAACTGTGGTGAGAAGAACAAACCGGTGCTGAAATAGGGAGTTTCGTAACCCTTTAAAGAGTTGAGATGTGTTAGTCAGAGTGACCTAAATCCCCTTAGTTTATGACTAGTCAGTCCCTGAAAATGTCCACACTATAGTCTACTACAGTCAGACGTATCAACACCACGCACAATGAACTCATCATGTACTCTCAGTCCCAGAGTGTCTAGAATGGTCAGCCAATGTCCAGGAGGGAGTAGGTGGGTGGAAAAGCCTCAGTTTCCCCATAATTCCTCACATGACTGACCATAGATCTCAGCATATGTCTGTTACACTGGGTTAAGTTTCCGTAAACGCCTACGACGAGACCGAACAGAAGAAAAACAAATAAAGAGCAAACATTACCAGAAAACAAAGTATAGTAATAAAAGTTAATAGCCCTTTTTATGACCTGCTGTGATTCATCTTTAGACAGTCATTGATGTCTGTGCGTTTATCATCTCTATTTGTCATTGGTAATTCTAGGCTCAATTGTCTTTTTTTTTTTTTTACAAAGTGATTTAGTTCCTGTAATTGCATTTTTAGGTATTTTCCAGGAATCTTTTATGTTCTTGTTCAATAAAGTGATGGAAAAAAGTGTTTTTTTTTCCTCCTTCAATTTTTTCATTTTAAATTCTCATTGCGTCTGAGATCTGCGGAGCTTACTGTGTATCGCACACATGCAGCTTTTCTTTTCTGTTTTACTGCCCTACATGACCACAGGATGTCTTTATCTAAAAACAATATTTTGAGATTTGAGAGCTCTGAACTGTAAGGCTATGAGATGTAATACCTTGCAGTTTGACTGTCTCCCGTTATTTCCCATTTCAGTCACATAAATATGTCCTTCTTTATTCCAAAAGGAAGGTCACTCTTTAAACATCTTTTGTTTTGTACTTTCCATATTTGTAATGCACTGAAATCCTTTTTCTTTTTAGCTGAACACCATAAGCAAAGTTTAAGTTTTAATTTATCTGAAAATTTAAAATTAAGTTTTCTTAAATTGGGGTCATTGGGTAATTGAAGTCGGTACTGTATGCTGTTCAGGGTGTTGTTGTGTTCTCAGGTAGTAAATTAAACAAGTCGTAGTGAAGCTCTTTGGCAAGGAGCTGCCTCTCAATATATTTCAGTTGTACAAATTTGACATCTTGCTACTTTAGCATTTTTGGTCATGGTGAAGTGTGTCCACACTGCTTACACATTTACCTGTTGTAGCTAATCTATGTTGTGTGCACAAACACTAACAAAACACTAGCAACTATTTTTGGATGATGATTTTGGCTCTCCAAAACTATTTTTTTGTAGCATCTTCAGTTGCCAAAATTTGGGTGCTTCTCTACTTTATATGTCAAAGTCTGAGTTCTCTACAAAAAGTAGTATTATATAATAATGAGAATTAAATATTACAACATTATACTATGGGGCCGTTGAATGCTTGAATCTGATTGGCTGACGAACCTTCTGAGGCGTGCAATTATTTTCAGGGAAACGCACGGCGAACGTAGTTCCAGACAGCTCTCTTGACCGCATTACAGTTCCATATCACTTCGCATAGTTAACTGTAATGACGGAAATTAGCATACAGTACCTATACAGCACACAGGAATTACTGCGATCACACGTGCTCGCACACGCACACTACGGTCACGCAGTTTGCACAAAAAGGTGTTGTCAGCGCTGCCCTGACGATTTTATCAGTTAGCCTATATAGTGTAGCATACACATGACATTTCTCACTAGCGAGGTAATAACAGCGCTGTTTAGAGACGCTGCTGCAGAACACTGTTGAGAGACGCACAGAGGTAGCCTAATTCACACAAGCTCTCTCTCTCTTTCTCTTTCTCTGTGTCTCTGTCTCTCTCGCTCTCATTCAAATAACTTCATTAATAACTGCATTAGAATGCTATCAACGGCTCAAGCCTCCATTACCAGCTTTAAATGACGTGTTGGAACGAACAAAAGAGGCGTTGGATGAGATGCGGAAGAAATAATCCTATTCACAATAGCGATTTAAGTACAAAAACCGGACGAATCCCTTTAAATATATCATCTGATCGATGTCTCGAGGTGTGGTAACCGTAGTATAAGCGGAATAACTGACTCCGGGCCCTTGAATTATTAGAAAAATAATGCACACCCGAGGTGTAACAGCCATCACCACCTCGTGGTGTGCATTATTTTCCTAATAATTCAAGGGCCCGGAGTCAGTTATTCCTTACTTATGATTGGTTTTTTTAAAATGACGTGTTCATGTTATGACCGGATGTGGTGCGAATTCAGTCACTGTGTCCCGTGGCATGAGAAAACAGAGTTTAAATGATTGTTGAGTGACTGGTGTAAGGATGTCTTTGTGCATTAGGTTCCTTAATATGCAATATAACATTATTTTTTAGCATTAGTGTGAAGATGTGGCACACTTGTTTTTAGGCTGATTAGAATATTTCCTGCTTGTTGTAGTGATTTTATGTAGATCAATTTGTACACTAACAACCCTCTACATTGCGAGTAAATCACTCGCATATGCGACTAAATCTTCACGCTGGCGACTAAATGATGTCTAATATTAGCCAATTGCTAATAAATTCTCAGATTTTACTCGCCAGTGTGCGAGTTGGAGGCTAAGTATAAGTTTAGGTCAGATATATTTTCACTCGCCGAACACTCTCTGACTGAGCGCATCAGAGTTTCACTCTCCGCCAAGCGATCTGTGCTGTTTTTCAGTTCATCTGAATGGATGTGCAACGCAGAACGTACCGTAAACTGTAGTGTGAAGCGCACGACTCGCCGTCGCTTTGTTTCACACACACGCAGCGAGAGAGGGAGAGAGAGAACTGACGCGCTACCTATGCGCGCTACATGTAAATGATATTCTTTGTTGTATTTTGCTGTCAGATTAACGGAGTTCCTTTGGAATTCTTCAGCGTTTAAGAACTGCCGCTTTCTCCAGTAGTGGGCGGAACTAATGTGCAAACGGCAATCTCATTGGCTGGCGCTAACCTATTATCGTCCCTGTTGATTTGATTTCAGCAAATCAGTTCGAGCGAACGCACACAACCTGATTAATATTCATGAATCCAGTAGCTCATTAATCCTTGGTGCGTTTTATATTGTTCTTATTAGTAGAATTCGTATCATTATTATCTAATCAGTATTTTTGTTAGTTTTTCCCCAATTTTT